GAACGTCATGCACAGTGACAACAATATATATGAGTGAGTGAATTAATAGTAGAGTAGCTGAACGATAGACATATAATATAAGTGGTGTAAGAGACAAAAAGTAGAATATTGACATATTGTATATGTAGCATCTATGGTGAATATATAATACAAACAGTACATAACATTGTAATTAATATAGATACATTCTTAGTATGACAAACATGGTATGAATTGATAATTAATATGAATGATATTTAAATGAATAACAATATAGATTGCTAATGTGTGAATATTTACACGTATATAGAGTGACACGTATGTACAAAACATTATAAATATTTTAGAATATAGATCATGTGCATAGTTATACAAAAAAAGTTGCGAGCTGAAATAGGAAACTGAAAGTATGATGAGTACAATAAAAGTAGTTTATAATGCAAGATAGTGTGTAAATTTTCACTATGTGTAACCAGTTGTCAAAGATTCCAACTGAGGGGCTTGGGTTGGGGTAATCTCCTTATACCGGTGAGCTTACGCCTCTTTGCTATTGCTAATAGTAGCTAGAATAATAAATATCAGCCCAAAATGTAATTCGACACTACCTTTTTTAGCCCAAGTAGCCAATTTGGTTGGTGGTTGGTGATTTTTATGCATTTTCAGGCTTATTGTTCCAAAAGGTGGAATCTCCCGTCCCGGAACCCCCACGCCCCAACTCGACAGGGAACATGGGAGGAGGTAAATCACGGTGACTCAGTCGGCGGAGTAGTAATAGGCCCATATGCACGTGCGCGCCAAAGGTCCAGCCCAATTCAGAGGCTGGAACCTCCACACGGTCGCTACAGGGACTCGAACCATGGTCACTGATCCAAATTCCCACCACTCAACCTGAGCTACCCGTGCGGGTACATTTATCAGCCTATTTATGGTGCTCCAAACAGCCTCTAAATCACCATCAGAGAGAAAGCTAATGGACCCTCCGTCTCAATTTGATATGTAGAAGTTGACGGGGCACACGAATTAAAGAAAGACAATAAATTTTAGCTTTACTATTTACCTTATCTCACACAAAGTAGGTGTATTTATGTAAGTAGAGTAAATTTGTGGCTTTATTCATTTTTTCATACTTAAAATCTAACAATCATTTTTGAAATAATTAAAAATAGGAACTTTTGCAAATTATATTGAGGCTGAAGGAGCAAAATTAATTACAACCAAAATAAAAGGATGAGTACAATTAATCATAACTCATAAGTCATTAAGTCTTACAGTGTACACTGTACGTACTATTTTAAGTCTTTTAAGAGTTGTACCTTGTCTAAATTAAAAAGTTATACATTATCGATACAAGACTTATATGGAGTATTGCCAAAAAAACTATACAAGATTTATTGTAGAATTTTTGTCAGATTTAGTCTCTGATTATTGTGTCTATGACATTTTGATGCTCAATTTTTAATTTTTATTGTGCCTGACATTAGTTATACGACTATTCTGGAAGAGTCACTTTTAATCGACATAAATAAAATTCACATTTACTCCTTTCACTATTGTCAAGTTGACACACTTAGAAGTTATTCCTTTCATCTGATTGAATTTTTTTGTCTAGCTTTTTTAAGGTTTTGATGCTCAATTTTTAATTTTTATTGTGCCTAACATTAGTTATATGACTATTCTGGAAGAGTCACTTTTAATCGACATAAATAAAATTCACATTTAGTCCTTTCAGTATTGTCAAGTTGACACAGTTAGAAGTTATTCCTTTCATTTGATTGAATTTTTTTGTCTAACTTTTTTAAAGTCTGGTTTGATTTGAATTTTTCATATGCAGTCTGAATTTTTCCAATGTGATCAAAATTTTCTATGATTGATTTGAATCTTTCTGATCAGATCTGATTAAATGTCCTTGTGTCTTGATGTTGAAAAAGTGCATCAGATAAGTTTTATTCGAAAAGTGTATCAGATAAGGGTTATTGTGCATCAACGGTTGAAATATCGCATGAATATAACTCTGAAAGGCTAAGTAACTTTATCTCAAAGAAACTTGAGAACTTACCCGAAGCGATGATCCACTTGTCCCCACACCTCCAGGTCCGCAAATTATATGCTATAGTTGGTTGTACCTTGAGCATGGTATAGTCGGGTATTCCTTGAACCGTCATATTTTGCAGCCCAATATAATGAAGCCTAACCCTAGTTCTATTCCTCCGCACTGCTGGACCTGATAGCTTATCAGCGTCAGTCAGTCGACGTCTCCATATTCGTTATCAGGACCAATGTTCACCGACATAGTTCTAGTACTAGGAGCGAACGGCAAAACAAGTCACGATGATAGAATCCAACCAAACATTCAAAGCGAAGTATTCTATTCGTCTTCTCTGATAACCCTAAATGTTACAATACGGTATTAAGCTTGGAACAGGAGGAGAAAGCAACACTCAAGAATCCAATCTCTCCCCGATGGTGATATGCTTACCAAAACGTCACAAGATATTTTAGTTTCAGAATCCACGCTTAAACTAAGAAAAAGGAACCACAATAAATTGTTGTGTATGTTAAACTCAATGTGTATAAAGCTTAAAAGAAGTGAGCATACACAAATGTATATTTGAGCACACTGCACATTGCAAATGAGCTTTTGAATTTTTCGATCCTCATTTTGTACTAGAAGCAGAGATTATGATACTTAATTGCGTCGTTTTAAAAAAAATTATGATTTTTATATCAATGCTCCTTTTGTAAGTTATGCGTGCGTATTTTGTGTTGATGTTAAGTTCATTCTAAAATGATTACAAAATGCATATTTCAAAAGTACTATATTACATTAGATTCGTATAGATACTACCTCCGTCCCGAAAAGGTTTGTCATGTTGACTTTTCTTGATTAATGATGGCAAATTTCAGACAATGATTTTAATTATTGTATTTGTATAAAATTTATACGTTTTATACTTTTATGAAAACATTTTGAATAAGGAACATTTTGATATAATTTTTGTATTAAAAATATCATTGGTCAAAGGTGATTTAATAAGACTTTTGGTATAACGGTATACCGATAAACCTTTTATTTTCAAAGCACATACCGATATCATAGCGAAGTAATTCGGTACGGTACAATCTCATATAAAAAATATCGGCATACTTTTATCTTCGATAAATCCGATATTTTTTGATATGATAAATGTGGTATACTGATATTTTACTTAGCCCTAAACCGGCCTAATGGCCTTCCAGGGGCGGACTTACGTTTGGTTTAATGAGGGAACTTGCCCCCAATAAAATATGACTTTTCTTTAGATTTAGTGTAGTTCTTCTATTTTAAAAATATAAAAAATGCTAAGTGCCCCCAACGAAAAATACAAATGCCACCATTAACTTTTATCTTTTAAAGGAAAAATGGCAATGTTTACTTTCTCTATACAGATAAATATTGAGTATATTTTTTAAAGTTACAAATTTTATAGACAAGAAATTAGTATGATAAGATGTATATTTACTTACTTTTTAGGTAGTAATTAGTTAATTTAATTTTAGAAATGTAAGGTGGACTATGCTCTTCATTCAAGGAAGAATTCCCATTTTATTTGATGTTCGTTTCCACCCCTAAATAAGAGCCTGTTTGGCGACTTTATTTTTTGGTTTATTAGACTTATCAGCCAACTTTTTTATGAAACACGTTGATTTCGCGCGTTGAAGTGGTTAATAATAAGAAAAAGTAAGGTTGTAGTTACTTTTATGGCTGTATTGGCTGAAGTTATAGTATAGGATCATTTTAGCTATTTTTTCATATAAGTTTTTTTTATTAATAAAGTATATTTTAAATATAATTTTTCATAAATCAGCAGAATCAACCAATACAACGACTTCAGACAGAATTTCATAAATTTCAGTAGAATCAGCCAATTCAGCCGATTTCAGTGTTATCAAACGGGTTCTGAGTTTGATTTATGTTTGATAATACGATTATCGGGAAAAGTAAAATTATGTGGATAAATTTGAATATACAAAGTAAAAGTGAAGTATGAATGATTTACAATCATATAAATATTGTCACATATGGTGAGGCCGTTTGGAACACTGGTTTTTCGGCTTATCAGGGTTATCAGCCAACTTTTTCATCAAACACGTAATGTTTGCTTTCGCGCGCTGAATTGTGTAATAAGCAGAAAAAGTAAGGTTGAAGTTACTTTTCTGGCTGTATTGGCTGAAGTTATTGTAGATGACCATTTTAGCTATTTTTACATATAATTTTTTCTTTATTTTATTAATAAAATACTCCCTCCGTTTCTAAAAGAAAGTCACGGTTTGACTTCACAGTTATTAAGGAAATAAATTGACTTTACTGTAGAAAACACTGTTTAGACACTGTTTGGCACTGTTTGAACACTGTTTAGACACTGTTTGGCACTGTTTGAACACTGTTTGGCACTGTTTGGCACTGTTTGGCACTGTTTGGATGTAGATTTCTTTGCCAAATAAGGAAATAAGGGAAGTGTGACTTTTATTTTGGCACATCCAAAAAAGGAAAGTGTGAGGTTCTTTTAGAAACGGAGGGAGTACATTTTAAAAATAATTTTTTCTTAAATCAGTAGAATCGGCCAATGTAGCCACTTCAGTCATATCTTCATAAATTTCAACAGAATTAGCCAAAACAGCCGATTTTCGTGCTACGAAACGGGCTCGGTATGAAATAATTTTAATGAAACATACTAAAAGGGGAAAATGAGACAATTTTAATATGAAGAAGGGAGTAATGTACTACAAAAAAGAAGTTTTGTGCATATAAAATTCAAAATAGTACCATTTGTCATTAATTAAGGTTTGTTTTAAACAAATACAATTATAGAATGATAAAAGTGTGGCACACAACCATAAGGAAAAGTGCTCAATAGCAATAGCAAATGTTTTTGGATCCGCACCTGGCCTGGCTCCGGCGTTGACCATACACAACTCTTTTGGCTGCACCCCACCGGTATTCTGATATTTATTATCTTTTCATCATCAAGAACAAAAAACGGCTGAAGTGACAGCTAGCGCATTATTAATTCGGAGTAGAATGTAGAGCGTGATCACACATACCTACCCTCGTACTAAATATACACAGTCCTTTCCTCTTGTAATTAATTTCTCTCCTCCGATCCCCACCGCTCGCCGATGGATCGATCCACCAGCGTTTCGCGGCGAGACCCGTACCCAGCGGAAGAGGCGGATTCCGTTGAGAAGATCTTTGCGGGGTCTGAGAAGGTGCTTTCGTGGAGGGATCAGTTGACTTTGAGGGCATTGGTAGTGAGTTTGGTGCTGAGCATTCTCTTCACTTTCATAGTCATGAAGCTCAACCTCACTACTGGCATCATCCCTTCACTCAATGTCTCCGCTGGCCTCCTGGGCTTCTTCTTCCTCAAGACCTGGACCAAACTTCTCCGGAAATCCGGCCTTTTGAAACAGCCCTTTACCAGGCAAGAGAATACTGTCATCCAGACCTGTGTTGTTGCCTCTTCCGGCATTGCCTTCAGCGGTACATACGCTCGCTCAGTCCTACCTGCTTAATTAATCGTACGTGTGATTTTTATAATATCTCATCTTAGCCGACTTCAAAATCTTAGTCGTTGTATATTTGATCACTTGCATGATGCTTTATTTGGTCCATGTTTATCTTGACCTATAACCAGTGATGATCTCTTCTATAGACTACAGTAATTAAGATGGAAATTAGATTTTTTTTTCACTTCTGATTGAAAAATATACTAGTATAATCAAGTTTGATGCCTGAAAAGATCAAAGGTTTCATTTATAATCTGGAGAATGATCAACATAATTATGCAAGTTTTTTAAACAAATTTGCATGTGTGGATGTTAAATAAATTGAGCCAAATATTAATGTAGAGGAAAAAAGTGGTATATATGTACTAGGCATATAATGTTGGACCTCATGCATTCTTTTTGTTGTAGCCTAGGTATGAGTTGCCTAATAATTTAGATCGGTGCTCAACTCAGTTAGGCATATTCTTTACAATTCAGTTGGGCATATAATGTTGGACCACATCTTTGATTTTAAAAAGAGATGGCATTTTGATACTATTTAGGGTAATAGAAAGAAAAAGATATAAATTGTGGTTTTTAGATTCAAATTCTAAGCTGGACATGATATGGCGTGTGGGACCCACTTGATGCCACCCAACTACAACATGTGGGAGGGTGCGCTAGTGACCGGTGGACCCCACTGAAACTTTCTCCCACACTCATAGGTGAGTAAAGTTCCACGGTGTGAGCCCTATAGTGAAATGAATTCTTGTTTTTGTTAAAGAAATATTGTGAGGCTTGCCTTACACAGTCAGGGGTAGAGCAAGGGAGTGAAGGTGGTTATCGTTCCCCGGAAAATTTGAGAATATTGAGTAAAAAGTTTCAATTTGAGAAACACTAAAATACTTTCAATTTGATAAATCATGACTCTCCTAACTCGTTATGAGTAAAAAGGTATGACTCCTGAAAAATCAACATTATGTAAAGTTGAAATATTTGATGTGTAATATCGATTAAATTCACAAATTTTAAAAATAACGTCTAATTCACTCATTACTAATGGGAAGTCTAAAATGTACATGGCGTACAAAGTATATATCAAATCTATAACTTTATTGGTCTCATTTGATCTACCATTATCTAAGCTAGGTGTGAAAATTTCAACATAGGTATTGTTTAAAAAAGATTCACCCTTTTTATTTTGTATTTAATTAAGTTTCAACCCCATAAATCCTTTTTTTGCTCCGCCACTGTAGACACTTACACATGAATGTGGAACCCATATGTGGGACCATGCTACATGTTAGAGCCAGCTGACTTAAGTATTCGTTTTAAGTAGTTTGAGGTAAAACTTTATAGGTAGTATATGTGTGGGTGTACATTGTAAGTCAAAATATTAGTTTGTCACTTTGTTGTATCATCTTTGGTTCACTATTGACTAACCTATTTGAATTTTTGGCTTTTATTGAAACGAAAATATTGACTATTGGTCATTTAAAGACATCATTCCATCTATTTCATATCAGATCTTGTTGACAACAACAATTTGACTTCTGCATGTGAATATATGATGTGGTTCTGTGAATGTGTATATAAGTATGTTTTCAGCACAAGTGCAGAACACATGCACAGCTAAAGCAGAATTGATCTTCACACTAAAAAGTCAACTCACCAACACATTTAGTTGATTAACTAATTAAAATTTGTGTCCAACTAATTGTGGTGATCATGAGCTAATTCTCTCCAGTGTTAGCTGATTTAAGTATTTACTTCACCACACGTTTGTTAGGCTGCTTTTTGTTTCGAGTACTCCAAAACTCATTTGCTCTTCTTCTTTTTTCAAATGAGATTTAGATTGGGTGCTTTTTCTTCACAGAAAATATCCTCCAAGAAAATGATTTTAGGATGCTTCTGTATTTGAGATGTGAAGCACTTTCGATGGAAATACTCACACCAGACACCGGGTTGAAATTTCTAAGCATCTTAAGAAAAAAGTTCCAAATTTTTGAGGGTGTGTTTGGATCCAAGAAAATGCTAGGGAAAGGGAAAGTTACAAACTCATTTTACTTTTTATGTTTGTTTTACCACGTAAAAAGAAAATGAAATGGAACATGAGCTGTGTCTCCCATTCAACAAAAACGAGTAGTGTTTCTAACTTCCTTTTATACATTTGTTTAGATTTCTCATTCACTAGTTTAGAGATGTTTTCACTTGGATTTATGTCAATCCAAAACCACAACGGACGTGATCAAACATAAATACACTAGAGCGGATAAGAGTCATAAGACTTGAACAGACCAAATCAAATCAAACTATACAAGAGACCAAACTTAGATTATGCTCCCTCTGTCTCGAAAAACTTGACCAATCTTCTTATTTGACCATCTCAAAAAACATTGCCAATACAAAATCCGTGGCACGGAGGGGTAGTACACATAATATTATACCAGTACAAATTTAAATAGACTAAATCAAGTCACACTTAAAGACATGGCTCAGATCTCACAAAACTCGAATGTATTAGTATAAGTGAAAAAGTCGTACCTGAACAGATAGACGGGAGACATAAACAACTAAATAAATATCAACTAATATCTGAAATAAATTTACTGAACTCCAGACTGTCTTTTATTCTCACCAACATTTTCTTCTTCTGCAATCCCCCCTATGTTTTCCTTCTTAACTAGCATTTTGAGGCTCCGGTAGACTCTCAGTCGATGTTTGGAACTCTAAAATTGTTTAGCAACGACAAGGAGGAAATTACAAGACAAATTCTTAGCAAAAATGTTAGGAAAATAAAACATTGATTCAAAACTTCAAACTGATCAACATTTTCTCCCATATTTGTTGAATTTAATTTTTATCAAGTTATTTATATTTTATACAAAAATATTAATAATTATATTTAATTTCGTTTTCCCTTACATGTTCCTAGTTCAAAACAAACAAAAAAAGAAAGCAATTTTCCTTTTCAAGTTATTTCCTTGTCCTAGCAGCATTTTACGGGATCCATACATGAAAAATTGCCTAAAGGGTTGCAAACAAAGAAGTAAAGAGTTGACACACATTCAACATTGTCATCTACTCTGATCTGTTTGGATCTTATCTGTTTTTAGCTGATACATATGCACATAAATGAAGGGAGTTCATTGGTAATTCAGTCTTGAATCAATTAAGCAGGAGGTTTTGGAAGCTACATGTTTGGAATGAGCGATGTCGTTGCCCGTCAATCAACTGAAGCAAACAATGCTCAGAATATAAAAGAACCCGGGCTGGCCTGGATGATTGGCTTTCTCTTTGTTGTCAGCTTTCTTGGCCTCTTTTCTGTGGTTCCCCTTCGAAAGGTCAGCCGCAGATAATGATCATAGACTTCAAAAGTCCTCCCTCCTTAGGTTCATGATCATATATGTTATCATATACTATATGTTTTGATGTTTTTTTGCAGATAATGATCATAGACTTCAAACTCACATATCCAAGTGGAACCGCAACTGCTCTCTTAATCAACAGTTTTCATACCCCGAAAGGAGCTAAGCTGGCAAAGTATGTGCACTACCAACTTTAAATAATTTGATATTCATCATCATTACATAATGTTGACTTCCTAGCTGTTGTTGCTACACCATCTTTTATTCTTTCCTGCCATGCAATCACTCATGCAGGCAACAAGTAAAAGCACTTGGGAAATACTTCACTGTCAGCTTCCTGTGGGGTTTCTTCCAGTGGTTTTTTACGGCAGGGGATGCGTGTGGGTTCGTAAACTTTCCCACATTTGGGCTGAAAGCGTATGACAACCGATTTTACTTTGACTTCTCAGCAACCTATGTGGGCGTTGGGATGATTTGTCCATATCTCATTAACATATCCGTCTTACTTGGAGGAATCCTTTCATGGGGGATAATGTGGCCTCTCATCAAGGAAAGAAAGGGTCACTGGTATCCAGCAAATCTTAGTGAAAGCAGCCTGCATGGCTTGCAAGGATACCGTGTACGTTGTTATATTCTTTCTTCCTATCCCCATCCATCCCCTACGTCGCCGTGTAAATTTTTAATTAAATTTGTTATTAATAGATATATTGAAAGAGAGATTGAGTTGGCGTTACAAATTTTTGCTATTGCAGGTTTTTATAGCAATCGCCATGATTCTTGGAGATGGTCTCTACAACTTCTGCAAAGTATTGGGGCATACCCTGCATGGATTGTATCACCAAATGAAAAACAAGTCAGTCCTCCCGGTCGCGGGACAATCACCCCCAGAACCTTCTATGTCAGTTGATGACAAGCGAAGAACTGAAGTTTTCCTCAAGGACCAAATCCCGATGTGGTTTGCAGTGTCGGGCTATGTCACGATCGCCATTATCTCGACAATATCACTTCCTCACATCTTCAACCAGCTGAAGTGGTACCACATTGTGGTGATCTACATTGTTGCACCTGTACTAGCCTTCTGCAATGCATACGGAGCGGGCCTCACCGATTGGTCGTTGGCATCTACGTACGGGAAGCTCGCGATCTTCACGATCGGGGCGTGGGCGGGGGCCACACATGGTGGTGTTCTTGCAGGACTAGCCGCGTGCGGGGTGATGATGAACATCGTGTCCACCGCATCAGACCTGACGCAGGACTTCAAGACGGGTTACTTGACCCTGGCTTCCCCTCGGTCCATGTTTGTCAGCCAAATCGTTGGGACGGCGATGGGGTGTGTCATCTCGCCTTGCGTGTTCTGGCTCTTCTACAAGGCATTCCACGACTTGGGGCAGCCGGGATCAGAGTACCCAGCACCTTATGCGCTTGTGTACCGCAACATGTCCATCTTGGGGGTGGAGGGGTTCTCGGCACTACCGAAGCGTTGCCTCACGCTGTGCTATGTCTTCTTCATTGGGTCAATCGTCATAAACGGGATAAGGGATGTGGTTGGGAAGAAGAGGGCGCGGTTCATTCCGATCCCCATGGCGATGGCCATCCCGTTCTACCTGGGAAGTTACTTTGCCATTGACATGTGCGTGGGGAGCTTGATTCTTTTCATTTGGAGGCAGATAAACGAGAAGAAGGCTGATGCATTCGCGCCGGCAGTGGCTTCCGGGCTAATATGTGGGGATGGGATCTGGACTTTGCCGCAGTCCGTGCTGGCTCTCGTTGGGGTCAACCCGCCCATTTGCATGAAGTTTCTGTCCCGGAAGAACAATGCAAGGGTTGATGCCTTGTTAGCAGCTGCTTCCTGAATCTTTTTCTTTCATCATGCCCCACCCCTTTGCTAATTAGACTCGGCATTATCATCAGATGTAACGTCTCCCTTGATATGTCACACACACATATAGTTGCAATAGAAATATGATTAGACGTTTGCTTTTTACAATACAAGGGTTGTCAAGATTGTAACTATATATGGACAAAAACATAAGCTATGAGGCTCAAAAGTTTAGAAAGTTAAAAATAAATGAAGGGAGCATATAAGGTGCACACAATATTGTTGGCAAAGGATTGATTATTTAATTTGGTATCTATATACTGCGTATCTACATAATTTTGTTCATATGAAATACATAGATACCAAATTAAATTACCAATAATTTGTTGATTATTGTGCATCTTATATGCCCTCCTCATTTCTATTTAACTTTTAAAAATTTTGTGCCCCATGTTCGTGTCCATTATTACTTCTCTAACTATATGATCGGGTCATGATGACGGCATTTCATGATTGATGAATAGTCTATGTAGCATCGGTACGCGGAAACGGGTACGGGGATATGTCAAAACAAAAAAAAAAGTAGGATACAGATACGGGACCATATTTATAATTATTAAAAGTTATGGGGGTGTATTTACAAATATTAAAAGTTATAGGGGTCTATTTATAAATATTAAAAATAGATTTTTTTTTGAAAATATATATATATATATATATATATATAATAGAGATCAAATACAAAGCTTTCTTAATTTACAAAGTACAAACTCATCTTGACCGTCCGATGAGTTGATCCAAAAGACATAAAGGCAAGGTGGCATTTTTGTAATAAAACCCAACTTTTTAGGGTGCAACTCGTTGCACCTTAATGTGCAATTGTTATTTTTATAACTTTATAATGTGCAACACTTTGAACCTCAATATGCAATGCAAATAACGTCAAGGTGCATCGTACAAATATTTGCACAATAAGCACACTTTGTATTTGATCTTTTCCCTATATATATATATATATATATATATATATACATATAATATCCTATGATGTCTACCCATTCATTGCATTGAAGCATTTTCCTTTTTCAAGATACTTAGTAATAAATTCATAATATTTCTCATATACACTAGTCATCTCGAAATATAAATATAGTCAATAAGTCATTAATTTAAAATGAGAAATAAGTCAAACAACTACAATCTTGAAATTAAAAGTGCAAGTATCCAATTCGGAGTATGAGTTAATGACTTAATTCGGATATAGCCATATAGGCCCATTATTTGATTACCAAGTAAATGTAGTTTTAGATTTTCATTTTTTTAGAATTTTATTAAGTAAATTTTGGGATTTTTTTTTAAAGTTGATTGACGTGCACTTTGTCGTGAGTGCACTCAAAATAAATTCAATACTAGCACTTATACGTAGTATAGCGTAGTAGAGTTCGTATCCACAGGGAAAGGAATAATTCTCTTTTTATAAAACTAGTAAATAAAAAGGGGGGTTTGGGGATTGAATGATTTAATAAATTAAACATAAAGATGAACAACTTAATTTAAAGATAAAAAGGACTTGGCATTGCTACTTTCCACTTGTTGATATATTTTAGTCGATCATTGTTATATCTATAACTAATCCCCTCTCGAATACTCAATCGAGGAGTATATCCAATTCATCGAGGGTAGTTATTAACAACGACCGTTCATTAATAACCCTTACTATTAGTCATGTATAGAACACCGCCATATACCGACTTAATAGTAGCATTTAATCTCTTAACTCCTTGATGAAATCAATTGAGATTGATAACCTCAACACAACGGTTTCGGTTTAACCAACAAAATTAATCCCTCTTAAGTTTATTAACCACGACCGTGCATTAATAAACCGAAGTTACTTACTTGTGAAACCATCAATGATTAACCATCGGTTCGTTGATCGTTTCTAGTAGTAATTAATGTCGAGATGTTAACTAATTGTCATCTTAGCAACACTACCCAACATTAATATAGAGATAGATTAAGGGAAGAATTAATATTCAAGGAAGAAGATTAAATATGAATAATCCTACTATAACTAATGTCAAGATGTTATCTAATTGTCATCTTAGCAACACTCCCCAACATTAATATATAGAGGAAGAAAATAAATACTACTATAACTAATGTCGAGATGTTAACTAATTGTCATCTTAGCAACACTCCCCAACATTAATATATAGATATATTAAGAGAATAATTAATATTCAAGGGAAGAAGTTAAGAAAATAACTCACAACTTTAATAATCAACAAGCTTCAAGAGCAACACCAAGAAATGGAAGTTTAGCTCCTCATTTGGAGACTAAACATGCTATAAAAATATAAAAGAAATACTATTCTAAACTGAGCTTAAGAGTATGGAAGAAGGGATTATGATTTGTGAAGGAAAATGGGGCTATTTATAGGTGTTTTTCAACACCTTTGGCCGGGTACCCGACCGGGTAAAGTGCCCACCCGACCGGGTGCATGTCAAAATCAAATATCTTCCACGTTCTGGCGATCTTCGGCACGTTCTGGTGTTCCGGGTCAAGTCGGACCCGACCGGGTGAAATACCTCACCCGACCGGGTGATGTAATTTCCTGAGCAGTTTCGCATTTAAATTTCTCACCCGACCGGGTGCAATACCTCACCCGACCGGGTGATTGTCCTGGGCAGCCAAGAATTATTTTTCTTCACAATCAAAGTCTTCCTTTCCAACACCATAAATCCTAACTCTACTTTACAACTTACAAATGAGAACTAAAATACAATTACAACTAAAATCACACAAATGTTTATAAACTAAATAAAATGGTAAACAATCCACACAAATCAAACATAAAAAGACACATTTATGCACTACTAATTAGTGCATATCATTGATACGGGTATCCGTCAGGATACGAGTATCGGAAACTTTCAAAAAATTACAAAAAAAAAATGGAAACTTTTAAAAATTGCAGATACGGCCCGGGAACGTACGGTACGGGTATCCTAGAGTATCAGATACGGGAACGTATCGGATACGCCGATACGCTACCCTAGCGAAGTATCCGTGCTTCACTGTGAATAGTGCAGTATTTGAGCTTAAAAGAATACTGTAGCGAAAGTAAAAGTCAAAATTTCACACTTTTCACATTGAACACCCTTTTTATTTGAATCGCAATTCGCATAGAGTGGTAACGTGAGAAATGTGAAATCTTCACTTTTACTTCATCACATTGCACTTTTAGGTTCAAACATTCATTTATTTAAAAAAAAAAATGCAGTTGTGTTCTTAACTCAAATTGCTACATTGTTGACACTTTCAGAGCCATCAGATCTCAAATTTAATATACAAAAATTACTCTTTTTTCTAGCACTAAAACTTATTCTTATTTGATCCTAAACTTAAGGTGTGGTTCCATTAAAAAGAGTGAATAATGTGAATAGTGGAAAATTTTCACTTTTACTTTGTTAAACTTTACCTTTAAGCTCAAATATTTCACTTGTTTGCGGTGACAAAAATGTTCACTTATTTGCAAAACTGACATTGCATTTTAACTCAATCTGGTGCATTGTTGGCACAATCATTGTTTAATCGCAAGCTAGCTCAAGTGGTCACACATTGGCTTGGACCCGGTTCGGGCCACCCGGCACGGGAACCGAACTGACCCAACACTATTTGGGCCCGGTCCGGGAAACCGGGTACCGGTTCCGGGCCATGACCCGATTTTTGGGGTATCCGGTCGCGGGTACGGGCTTAGGGAAAGGTGAACCGGACCGGCCGGTTCCGGGCCCGATTCGGGCCATTTTTTTTTTAATGTTTTTTTGTTTGGGCTGGGTTTAGATGGGCTGGGCTGGGTGTTTCTGATGGGTTTGGGGGATGGGGGGATGGGGGGTAGGGGATGAAATAAAAAAAAATAGAACCGGACCCGGGCCGGTCCCGAGTCTTCACCCTAACCTTCAAAAGCTCGTCGCGCCTAGGCCCGACCCGGACCCGGCTCGGCCCGAGTCCAAGCGTAGTCACACAATAATGGTTTGGTCTCACCTCAAACGACAGTGTGAAAGTTGGGGACCTAATGATGTTTGATCATTAGTGGTGGTTTTTTCGGGGAGTTAGGCTAGAACATTATGACATACACTATCAATCAAGAACGAGGTGGTTTTTAGTAAGACATGTTCTGAATGACCTGGTTTTTAATCTTTTTATTGATAATACATATTGATTGTTTGTAATCATACACTAAGACATGTTCTATAGCAATACACTATAGAGTACAAATGTAGCTGTAGGGGATGTTTGCAATACATACTTCCAGCGGCGGAACCAGGAAATAATTTAAGCAGGGGCACCATCACATAATGTAAACCACTCTAATAAAACTTAAAAAATTTAATCAAAAGCGCTAAGTAATGGTGCTAAATTCAACCTATGGATCCTCATGTTCTGAAAATGTTGGAAAATAATCTCATTGTGGACGTGTCTAAACTCATCTCTTTATATGTAACAAACTACACAATCAGTAAGATTGTCTAATCATAATCCTACTCTCTCACTCCCACTACCATCTGTATGATCGTATCTATAGGTGGCTCAACCCTAAACATTTGAAAAACTAGCACTTGAACTTATCGATGCTTTAGTCCGGAAAGAAATTTCTCAATTGACATTCTCATTCTATTATCAATTATTAATTTATTACAGACATCTTAATATATAATGTAATACTCCAACAAATTAGTAACTACTTTACACTACATGTGAACATATTTTTCAAATCATATTTATGAATTATAAAAAACTTAATAATGAATCATTGAAATACCAAATATTTAATTTTATTAAGAAATAAAAAATAGGAAAACATATAATAAGGGCAGACTGCGGAAGCCGGACAGCGGGACACGCATGGTGGTCCGGTGTGGCGGCGGCGGCACGGCTTACCTCTCCTGCTTGGAAGCTTGGGCCTTGCGAGTTGGCCTGACAGGCCCTGGATTCTTTTTTTATGGCCACTGGAACGACGTCGTCCAAATTAAAAAACAAAGCCACCCCTTTCCCCATCGTCCCTGTCCTCCAGAAGCTCTGCAACACACACATCCTGCTTGACGGAAACTATGGACCAGCCATGCGGCCCTTCCAAGCCCTCCCCTATACATTAATACATAGCTCGTATGGCCGAAGCAGGGGCTCCCCCCCCCCCCCCCCCCGCAGATCCGCCCATGCATACTACACAGTACAAACATAGATGATTGTTTGTAATCCTTAAAAAAGAACAAACGTGCAAACTACAAAGAGTTACATATCTATGAAATTAAAAATAGCAATACCGCTAGAAATCAAAACAAGATCCCGACGGGAGAAAACAACTCTGTGAACAAAGCACAGTCCAGCTGAAAGCACAGTAGTCCAACGTATGCTTCAAGCGGCTGAAACGAAAAATTATTTAGGAAGATGGGACGGCAAACGCGTGAATTTAGTAATTATTCCAAACTGCCGAAATCCAATTTCCAGCGGTTTCATCGGAGCCGCTATCCGCAACCTCTGTTTACCAAATGCAAAAAAATCAACGATTTTGCGAGTCCGAAACGCTGAAAGGGTCAAACCCCCCATTTTTGGCTCACCTGCTGATATACAAAGGCATCCAATGGGTAACAATCAACAATTAAGAAATCAAACAACCAACTATGAATGAAATGAATGAAATCAATTAATATGCTAATCAAATAATCATATCAGACTAATCTGCTTCCAAGTGGAATTTTTATGAGATTTTGTGATTGTGTTTTTCATCAAGTGTTGATTATGCCCACAAAATGTCACCTGAAAGTTCAATCAGGAATTCAGTTAAATAAACTATTGAAAAGCACTGCGCAAAAAATATGCATACAGTGTTTTTTAGAAGAAATATTTAACTGAATTCTGGATTGAATTTTAAATTGGAATTTTGTGAACATAATATAAATTTCATAGACAACATGCTCATAAATTTTTGTGCATGTAGAATTCGGCAAGTTGAATATATTTTCTTGGCTAAAGGGTCAAATAGGCCCTTGAACTGACTTAAAGTGTTCAATTAGCCCCTTATATAGAAGGTTCTGCCCAGCCGTCGCTAATTGGGGCGGTTTCCGGTGGAATTTTTTGATGAAATTTTTCGAGCATCTTCTTCATTAAGCCTAGTTTATCCATACCAAATTTCAGCTAAAAATTCAACCGGGAAGGCAGTCAAATAATTTTCTGAAATGTACTGCGCTGTTTAACTTCACAGTTATCTTCAAAAAATCATTTGACTGCTTCCGCGGTTGAATTTTTAGCTGAAATTTGGTATGAGTAAACTAGACTTAATGAAGAAGATGCTAAAAAAATTCATCAAAAAAATCCATCGGGAACCACCCCAATTGGCGACGGCCGATCAAAACCTCATATATAAGGGACTAACTGAACAATTTTAAGGATGTTTTTACTTTGACTGTAATTTGCTGGTCTGGTCTTGTCTGGTAAGGTCTGGTTTCTTTGAATTTTTATAACTATCCAAGTCTAGTCTGATCTGGTCTGGTCTGATCTGGTCTGGACTGGTCTGGTCTCGGACAAATTACAGTCCAAGTAAAAACATTCATGGTGTTTCGATGAAGTCATCTATTACTTTGCTCTTGATTATTTTTTTCGATGAAGGGATTGTTTTTCAGGGATAGTAAAGTAGGCCAATTTCTATTTTTTAGCTACTATGGATGATGTTCAACAGGGTTTGGTTGATTGGTACGAGTGCCTCCAATTGGAGGAGGAAGGTGATGAGGTGGATCTGGTACTGCCTGGTCTCAGAGATAAGGAGGAGTGGGAAAGAGGGCTGACTTAGTGGTCCTGGGTGAGGACGGTTCTCTCTGAGAAGGCGGTCAAATTCATGTCGTTTAGGGAAAGAATGGCCTCTATTTGGAGATCGAGCAGGGGTGTTTCGATTAAGGATATTGGTGATAAGAGGTATCTGTTTTTTTATCATGAAATTGATATGAGACGTGCTTTAGAGTATGGTCTGTGGCGTTATGATTAGAATCTTGTTGTGTTGCATGAATTAAAGTCTAATGATCTGCCTTTACAAGTTCCTTTATATTTTTTTGAGTTTTGGATTCAAGTGCATGATTTACCGGTTGGGCATCTACTTTAAGGGTTGCTAAAATTGTTGGTAATAAACTTGAAACTTTTGTAAAGCTTGATGGCCACTGATTTGAGGGGAAATGGAGGGCGTATTTCGTAAAGATGTCAGGCTACCGTTTCGTAAAGATTTGAAAGTCCAAAAGTCAAATGGGGATTTTCTATGGGTTAAATTGAAATATGAAAAACTCTCCAATTTTTTGCTTTGCTTGTGGGCTCATTAGTCATGGCGATAAGTTTTTCCCTCTAGTGCTGGGTCTTCCCAGCCAACCTCAATTGAAGGAGTTTGGACCGGGGATGCGGGCAGGTAGCGGGTACAGTACTAAAGGTGGATGAAATAAATGGCTGGCTGGTGGAGAATCTTAATAAACAAGTGATTGATAATAATGAGGATGTTAAGAGATCCACTCTGGGAAAGGGGATAGGGGTCGTGGGTTCGGGTATTGATGTTTTTATCAGTGAGGCTTCAATTCTAGAGAATCATGACGAAGGAGTGCAATTAGCTAAGCACAAGCGTCGCAAATTGGAGGTTTCAGGAGAGCCGTACACAATGATGGAAGTTGAAACCAAGGGCGGAAAAAACGGGGTGGGGCGAGCTCTGGGCAACAAGCTCGCCCGACAAGTTGAAGAGGGATGGCCCAAGCTCTCAGGTTTATCTTTTCTGCTTTCAGTTCTATTTTCAAACTAGTAATTTTACTTTCGTTTTTGTTGGGCTCAGACTTTTTAGTCCGGACTCTTGGTTATTTTTTATTTGGACTTTTTGCTGGAACACTCGTTTGGAAGGTGTATGTTCTGTGAGACAAGACAATCGTTTTTTTTTCACAATAGGTTTCAAGTTGCCCGTTGAGTGATTAGAGGACTGTTGCATTTTTAACAATTATAATTCTATGTCAAATCTTAGGACTTGCGGCCGAGATGAGAGAATCTGTCTTTTTTCTATTCTGCAGATTTCTACTATTCTAAGTCTTCTTTGATAAAAAAAACTATAAAAACACAAAAAAATTGGCTTGCAGTGCTAAAGAAACACTTACAAAAATATCTATTTAGCTACTTTTCTCACACATGCCAAGTCGGATTGGGATCCTCTGCCCGACTAGGAGGGTGTCTTGCGCATCGGACGGTCGGGTAGCGGCGAGGACGACCTCAAGATCAGCGAAAATGTGGACCCCAAGATCTACGCCGTTGAATTGTTGATCGGACGGCTATGCGGAAGCAAGGCACTCTACCTTGCTTTAAAGTAGACCTGCATAAAAACGGGTTCGGGCCGGGCTCGGGCCGGGCTTTTTATAAATTTTTTGCCCATCATGTGTGGGCGGGCCCGGCCCGGCCCACAAAAACGGGTCTAACTCCATGTCCATACCCGCCCGTAAGAGCGGGCCGGGTAGTCCATCGGGCCTCCCGACCCGGAAAAACTTTAAAAATTATATGACAGCATTTAAAAAATTGTTAATACGCTTATAATATTTATAGGCCTTTCACCACATACAAAAATAATACTTACATAAAAATAATAATGAGAAACTATATCTAAAATTTAAATTTCAAGCAAAAAATATTATCTTTAAGTACAAAAATAAATACTATATTAGTTGGGCTAGTTGTTAAGAACTAAAAACTTAAATTTACATATAATAATCTATAAATATGTATAAACGTAAATTATATTAGTAAATATAAATATACATGTGTACATGTAAATAAATAAATAAATAAATAAATTAGTATATATATACACTAAATGTAGCGGGCCGGACTTATCGGCTCGAACGGGCCTACACCCTAACCCAAGCCCGCCCATATGTTATTGCGGGCCAGACTCGGGCCGGCCCGGTGCGTAAATATATATGCCCAAGCCCGCCCATTTGTGCGGGCCGGTTGGGCGGGCCGGCTCGATTTTCCACCAAACATTAATTTATTTAAATGGGTTGACTAAATTAACTGATATTACTTAAAAGATATCGTGGAATTTGTATAAAATTTATGTGAACATCAGTTGAAAATTTTGATCAAACTCTGAAGCAATTGAATTGTCAAAAAATTATTACTAAATATTTTCAATTAATAAAGTAAAGAACAAAACATATAAAAAAAATAGCTAAAATAGCTTTCTTCAATATTTCAATCATAAAAGTACCTATAATTTAGAACACAAGAGTTGGATATTCAGGGGCCGGGGGATTGTCTGACATAGTGCTGGACTCGGGCCGGGCGGCCCGGCCCGGAACCGGCCCGGCCCGGTTACTGTTTGGCCCGGCCCGGCCCGGGGCCCGGTGGGTCCCTCGGTTCGGTTCGGCCCGGCTGCTGGGCGGTTCGGGCCCGGGCCCAGGTTTTGGTGAACCGGCCCGGCCGGTTCGGGCCCGGTCCGGGCCGGATTTTAATTTTTTTTTTTTTTTTTGAAATTTTTTTAAGTTTTAGGTTGGATTAGGTATTTTGGGCCATTTGAGGTGGTTTGGGATGGTTGGGGGTTGAGGGGGAGGGGTAGGGGATTAAATAGGAGAACAAAAAAAAAAAAAAATTATTGGGCCGGTTCGGCCCGGCCCGGCCCGGCCCGGTTTGGCCCGGAACCGGGACCGGAACCGGCCACCGGCGGTTCGGGCTCGGGCCTCCCTTTCCTGGCCCGAGGCCCGGCCGGGCCCAGGCCCGAACCGGGCCCGAACCGGCCCGAGTCCAGGACTAGTCTGACAGTATTGATGAGGGAAAATATTTGTTACCAACCTAACTAAAGTTCTCTGATGTGACAGATGATATTTCAATCTTCATGCCACCGTCATTTCAATTTCAGACGTAACTTATCAAGCCCTGAACAAATTCTTTAAGGAAAAAAATTGAAAAACAAATGATAGAAACATTGGTTTCTTCTTCTTTTTGTTATTTTAACATTGCGGTTTCTTCATGTATACATATATATATTACATAAACGTCTTATTAGGGTGATATGCATAAAGCTGATCGTACGATCGTATGGTTATATGCATAAAGCTGGTTTAGCTGGCACATTTTTATTCGGAAAGAGTTAATAAGTTACAACAGCAAGACATGTAAATATTAAATAACATAACCGAAAATGACACATGATGCCTAGAGCATCGTCGCAAACGATGAAAATAAGGCAATTATGGATTCTTTCAGAGCAGCCGAACACCCCTTTCTCATGATGAGGTAAGAAGATTCACTCCACAAGATAGTGTGCAGATCGTGAGGCCCAGAATCGCAATGAAATTGTATTTCCTGCAAGGGTCGGAAATGGATCAGAATAGTGCAGAAATTGGGCCAAACAGACTTACAGACCCCCATCGGCCAAACCCGAGTTTTCGGTCCAGTCCTCTCCTAAAATTCAGGGTTTTTTCCTGTTTGAAAGGGACTTAACCAGCTTATTACAATAGTATTTATGATTTTGGACTTTCTTGGTATGACAATAATGCTAATAATAATAATAATGGCATTACTTCACACCCAAACAATTACTGTGTACCATCCTCTTTGACCAAAATACCCTTTGTTAAGAGTTTTACTGTTTCGGCGAATTCTTAAGGAATAACCACCAAGAATTTTGGACAAATGATTTCTCGGTAGAAACAACTTCAATGGAAATTGTAGACTTGATTACACACTGTTACACAAGAACAAGATCACTAGCCTAAAAGCTCTTTCATTGTGTATGAACACTCCAAATAGTTGCAGCTAAGCTATAGTAGTATATAATTCTCTCACAGATAACAAGCATATTAAAAGGAGTAAATTTGGGCTTTCGATTTATTTTCCAGGTGTGATTGTCTATGATTCCCTGGTTATTATATGAAATATCAAGATAGTATGTATAGTTATGGACAACGGTGAAGTCTCTCTTGAATTTCCAAGTAGTGGTCTCAATTTCAATTGAATTTAAAACTAAATTTTATTTTATTGCTATGCATAATTTATTCCCCAATTGAGGTAAAAAGGTCCATCAATCTCAATTTGAGTGCATCTAGGAAGAAACTGGAAGCACGGACACAATTTGAATGATATATGTATAGCAAGGAGGACATAATTGTCCAACGGGTGAAATAGGGGTGAAATTGTCCTTAGCTGAGGTGCGCGCAGAACATCCTTAATAATAATAATAAAATATCCTATCTTGAATTCAATTTGCTATATGATCTTTGCTCTCAATCATAAGTACTACACAGATTCTATGTTTGTTAATTCAAGAAAAAACATTTAAAAAAAACAATCTATCCCTTCTAGTTTAGATGCTTTTATTGTTTATCTTCTTTATCTTTCTATGTTCTTATGTTATTTTTATCCTCTACCTTTTCTATATCTTTCTATGTTCTTATGTTATTTTTATCCTCTACCTTTTCTATGTTCTTATTTCTATGTTCTTATGTTATTTTTACCCTCTACCTTTTTATGCTCTTTTAACTTTCTATCTTTTATCTTTCTCTACCTTTTCTATGTTCCTTTTCTATGTTCTTATGTTATTTTTATCCTCTACCTTTTTATGCTCTTTTAACTTTCTATCTTTTATCTTTCTTATTTTCTTATGTTATTACCTTTTTATGCCCTTTTAACTTTCTATCTTTTATCTTTCTTATGTTCTTATATCTTTCTTATGTTCTTATGTTATTGTTACCGTATATTTATCTTTCAAATAGTTAATCTCAACCTTGCCAGGCACAGATGTATAAGCACAACTGCTATGCGCTGAGAAAAACTTCTGAAGGGATTTTAAACTTGTGGGGCGAATGGAACAAACGCATATGGAATTGCAGTTACATCTACCTCTAAAGTATTACGAGAGAGATATAGTTTGATATAAAGACTTCTTTAAAAAAATTAATCCTTAAATTTACAATTGAAGCACATGTGACATGCCCTTCATTAAATTAGTCTTTTTGTTTAATATTTCAGTCCGTCGCAAAATAACCTTAATGTTTCCTTTGAAGGAAAGGATTGTGAGGCTGATATAGTTTCTTTTAGTTCAAATAAATCTCAACCCCGCAAGAAAGGAGGATTAATTTGGGATAGAGGGAGTAAAATAAGTAAGAGTCAGTTTCACATTAAATAACTATCTGATAATCTTTATATACTTAGTTAATCTATGCCAACTAAATAAAATTATTAATCCAAAAAAACTCCAACAGGGAATAATATATAATCCTTGCTAAAAGTCATACACGTTGTGGTTTTGGAGGTACCAGCTTGTATAACAAAAACCAAGTCTGTTGTACTCTTTTCAAAACTAGTATGATGAAAATAGCTCTTTTTGGGAGAGTCAACATATGTTAAACTGATCTGTCATGTACTCCTTGGGGCATTCGGTGTGCCAGAAAGAAATCTCTTCATAAAATTTAAAGGTAGGAAAGCTTTCCTTAATACAGTGAATGAATGTTGATCACTTCATCATCATAATTATCGTCATTACCTTAATCCCAAGTGGTTGGGGTAGGTGACATGAAATTTATATTGTTAATAAGTTGTGCAAGGTCTATGATGAGAGCAAATTTACTTTTTAAGTAATTACATTTGATATTTTCATATGTTCTGGTAAGTAGAAATTCTTTTCCCATTCACATGAGATAAGTTCTAGACTACCTAGAACGTGCCTTGATGTACAAAAACAGGGTTAACCTGTTAAATTATTAGTAAAACGTTAGTTGTAATTCTTAAATCATTCAACTGTATCTTTGACTCAACCATATCAATTTATATCTAGATCGTTTTATGTTATTATGTTAAATAAATAATAATATGAGCATCACTATCGACCGGCACACAAACTCAATCACAAATCCAAAACTCCAAAATCAATCAATTCTAGAGACTAGAGTTAATCAACAAACAGACATACCCAACTGTAAGGCGATTCTCAGGATTGCCGGTGGAATAACCTTTGAAATAGCCGTAACGAGCGAAGATATAAAAGGCTCCCAAGGAAGCAGACACCAAAGGGTGCCTAATTCCTCCCAATCCCATCAGCAAGAAAAATACCGGCATCCATTCCAATGAATTCTGATGTCCCCTCTGTTATCACAACCAACAACTTCACTTCACATAAAGCATTACTGCAATTCATAAATTTTCAATAATTGCCTCGATCTAAAAAAATCAGAGAACTGGAAGCAAAGTGAGAGGGAGAGGGTATGAGAACCTGAACGCAGTTGAAGAGCTTTGCATCCTTGTTTTCAGCTTCCGTAGCATACATGGCCGGATAGGAAACGTTGTACCTGCAACGAGATTAACAATTTCAATCAAACAATAAATCCAATCCCTACAGGATAAGATGATTAGATAAATCAAGCAGTTAAATTCAGAAAACCTAGTTTACAGGACTAGAAAATTGAGTATGAATCGGAGGTTTACTTCTTGCGAGCTTTGCCGACTTGGAAAGACATCCACGTGTTAAGAAAACAGTAGAGAACGAGGACGATTACAACATAGCCGTATTCTTTTGGCAGTGTCTCGACTCCAGCCATGGCTTCTGGGTTTGGATTTTCTTCAGGACCGTGTGGCTAGTTTGTCCTTCGAGCTCTATTTATAAGACATGATAATATTTTTCTCCTCCTCTTTTTTGTCGACGACATATTGTGTAGATTGTTTCCAAGTAGTATATCTGTAATAATGTTTTTATACGTCACTGCATGCATCACACGTGGGTTAATGATCTTAGAGCTATAATCACATGGGTTAAATAATACTCATTGGCCAATGGAGAAACAATAAAATGCTTTGACTGGACAAGAATGCCCTTTAACGTGGCGGAAAGAAAGAAAAGACGAATAGAAATATACGGAGTACACAATGACACTCGAAATCTTTCCTTCCAGATCTGAGAAAATCTTCGTGGATCTGAAAATGGCCTGGTTCGTCGTTGGTCAGCAGGATCTCCCGTTGAGATGTCACTGCCGTCCATGAGTTCTGCCCTCGTTTGATTAGAAATCCCGCTAGGGCAGTAGCCGTAGGTTGTGAGTGCAGCATCTTGCCCTGAGAGACGAACGACGGTTGAGCAAGTCGGTGTTTAGGATTTTGGTTCCATGGATTTTCCTCCAATTTTGATTTCATCTAAGTTTGTGATTAATTTCAAAAAGGGGAAGGGTCTCAAATGTTCGTGATTTGAGAGAAGAGACGGATAGAATGAGATGGGAGAGGTGAGGGAATAAGCACGTGAAGGATAAATGTATTTTCCTTTGGGAAAACTGTCAAATAGGTCCTCAACTTTCATAAAAAGTCAATTAAGTCCTTCTATAGGAGACTCTGTCCGTCCGTCACGGTTTGGGGCGGTTCCCAGTGGAATTTTTTGATGAATTTTTTTATCATCTTATTCATCAAGTCTAGTTTATTCATACCAAATTTGAGCTAAAAATTCAATCGTGAACATATTCAAATTAATTTGAGAACGCAAAAATGCGCAGTTATTTTCAAAAATTAATTTGAATGTGTTCCCAATTGAATTTTTAGCTGAAGTTTGGTATGAGTACACTAGACTTGATGAATAAGATGCTCAAAAAAATTCATCAAAAAAATTCACCGGTAACCGCTCCAAATCGCGATGGCCGGACAGAGTCTCCTATAGAACTTAATTGACTTTTTTATGAAAGTTTGAGGACCTATTTGACAGTTTTCCCTTTTACTTTTTTTGGATTAGCCTAAAATAGAAAGTGGTCAATCTTTTTGGGACAGCCAAAAAAGAAAAATTGGTCAATCTTTTCGGGACGGAGGGAGTAGCAAATAAATTATCTCTCTCCTTATTTAAATGACTTTATACAATTTGATAAGTTTTTCTCTGCAATGTCAATCACAATGTTAAAATTTAGACGATCTTCTTGACATTGTGGACAAACACTTAACAAAAATGTATAAAATCATTCAAATAAGGAGAGAAAAATTTATTTGCTAATATTTATATGGTTATCCTGCGTCAATGCGTCATATGTTTTTACTTGGGATCGGAATTTTCTGGTCTGAAGTGGTCCAGTCTGATAATGTTTAGTCTTTGTGTATTTTATACTATGAAACTGTCTAAGTGTGGTCTGGTCTAGTCTAACCTGGTATGAGACTAAAAGTAGTACAAATATAAACATCCTAAGACATTAGGGCCTATATTTTCCAATTTTTCGTTCTCTAATTTTCTGTTTTGATGTTTTAGTTTTTCGGTCTCCAATTTTTTGTTTTTATTTTCTAATTTTTCATTTTCAAATTTGAGAACATATTCACCGAATTTTTTAACTTGGTTTTGAGATCGGTCAGAAGACCGAAAGGGGTCCGGAGCTGGACTTGGTACAACCCAAATAGGGTACCCGGTCCCGCGTATAGGAAAGCTGGGATCAAAACCGACCGGTCCCGATCGGTCGCTACGCCTAATTTGACTAATTCTTTTTCTTTTCCCTATGGTTGGCAACCCAACGACTCTATTGAAATTCTTCACTTTAAAAAAAGATTTTAAAAAATGGGGATCGAACCGGGACAAAGACCGTTATGTCGTCGATTAAACAATCGGATCGTTGACCAGACTGGACCAGGACTGCCCGATCATTGACCGAACTGGGACCGAACATGTAACATTGTCATCAAATATATTTACTTTTACCAAATTACTAGTATAGTACATGTGCATCCGCGCAGGCTGATTAGTGTTTTTTGAATTATGATTTGATATAAATTAATATCTTTCTCTACAATATTATAAAAGTGAATATTGTCAGGGGCATAATTGTAAAAGAAAAAGTGTCTTGTCTCTTGATGTTTAAGGTTATTGTACACCATGATTACTTTTATGTACACTTCACTAAAGTTTCTGTTTTAACGGCAACGTCTTATTCATCCTTACTGTAAGTACATGTTTTCCCCTTCCATTACTATACGAAGACTTGCTCTTTTAACTTCAATTCTTGAGAGCTGTTTTTTTCTTTTGAAAGGCTTTGGAGTTGAGCTTTTCTTTAATATTTTTCTCAAGATTTAGTTATTTAATTCCTTCTCGCGATTGTCCTTCCACGTCTTCTTCCTCTTCTCCCCTAACACCCTAGAATTTGTTATGGTGAGAACTTATCTGGTCAGGCGCGCCTGACCAGAACCGCCGTGCGGACTTGTCCATTTGGGGCGGTTCCTGGGGGTATTTTTTGATGAATTTTTTTGAGCATGTTCCTCATCAAGTCTAGTTTATCCATACCAAATTTCAGCTCAAAATTCGATCGGGAAGGCAGTTAAATAAATTCTTGAAACATACTAGTCTGTATATATGCACAGAATGACCAGTATGTTTCAAGAATTTATTTGGCTGCCTTCCCAATCGAATTTTGAGCTGAAATTTGGTATGGATAAACTAGACTTGATGACGAACATGCTCAAAAAATTTCATCAAAAATTTCGACCTGGAAGGCACCCAAACGGGCAAGTCCGCACAGCACATCTGGTCAGGCGCGCCTGACCAGATCATTACTCTTGTTATGGTCCCCTATAATGGTGGGTAGACGTCAATTTAGACTCTCAACGGGTGTAGCCCCGCTTGCTATAACAAATTTGCTTCAGATGCTTAGGGGGTGCTTGGAACTGATTCTGCTTCTGCTTCTTTTTTAAAGCAGAAGCAGAATCAGTTTTCAGAAGATGATCACTATTTCTTCTACCATATTTAGTCTCTCTTTTTCTTATTGAGTTGTTGCATGCACTCTTCTTTTCATGTGGTGCCATACAAGTATAGCTCAATGGCACATTTATCTCTAACATTGTTTCTTTACGTCCCTTCACACCACAAGTCCACAATGCATTTGTGCGTGTATATTTTTGTCCAGACGAGTTTGTTCTCTTTTGTGAGTGGCAAATCAATTTTGTTGGTTCATGGATGTCAATATAATCGTGTAGTGTATCATAAATGGTCAATTGTCCTAGACTATCTCCATGACTAAGTGTTTGCTATATGTATTTCTAGAGCACTCTAGTTTCATTTATTTTTTAGATTTTCCCTAGAATATTACTAATAAAAAAATCTATGGATAAAACTTTAACTACAAATTACTATGTGTAAATTTAATAGCACTATGATGTAACATTTGAATACAATTATAATCACAAAAGTCATTAGAGTCACATTTTTTGTCAATTATATTTATTTTGGTTATATATTTGATTTTTTTATTTAATTAAGTTTAACATCCGGTACTACATTTGACCCTCCTATCCGCTTACTTTGTATTAGGTAGATTGAATAACTAAAACATCTCTCAAAATATTAATTGTTTATTTTCATTTGATAACTTTAATTATTTATGTGCTTACTTTTATTTTTTAAGTTTTACCATGTGTAAATTTTGATATTGTTACATTTAATTTCCATTATCATCTCAAAACATTGATTTTAATTTAATGTTTTTAATAATAATACTGTAAATTAATATGTTTATTTTATATTTAAAGGTAAATTGTACTCATTCTATTATTTTAGTAACAAATGAGTCAACAATCATTGTACATCTCGTGAATTTGTGGTAGATATCATAAAAGAGCGCCTTTTATATTTAAATCGATAACACATTCTCCCTCCGTCCCATTTAAAGGTTCACACACTCTTTTTTTTGATGTCCCACTTAAAGGTTCACACTTTCTATTTTAGGAAATAATTAGCACTCTTTTTTTAATCATAAAACAATTAACACTCTTAAATAACCATTTAATCATCAATTATTAAAAATAATATATTTACAACATCACAATTATCATCAATAACCCAATATATTATATACTCATCAAAATTATTTTTCAAAATATACTCAAACTAACATATTTAATTATTGTCTAAATAATCGTGTCATTTTGTCATGGGAACCTTTAAACGGGACGGAGCCACGAAGGTAGTACAAGACAACCTTCAGACAAATTTTACAGATCCAATTGTGAACCCTAGGAGTAGACATAAAGTCAATCACCTCATACAAAGCAATCTAACTCGCTAAACCTGAAATGAGCAAATTTAAGCCTAAAACGACCGCACTTGAAATTTTGTCTAACAAAAGAACTCAAAAAATCCAAACATCCAAACCAAATTAAACCTAGTCGGGCTAAAATAAAAATAAGTACTACCAAAGAGAAAATAATATTGAAATAAAGACTTTCCATAAAACTCTTTTGGTATGGAGGTAGTTCCGGAGGAGGACGAGCTCTTGCAATATGGGTGAATACTATCTCCACCGCCGTCGGAGCGCCCGACCAAGGCTGCATGGTCCAGCACTGATACAAACTCCATGTCACAGCCCGTTCATCAGTCAACATTATCTCCTCTGATGTAGCTGCAATCCTAAGCGTTAGAACACATAAAATCAGTATAATTTGCCGCTGCAACCCCATATTAATATGGGCGGCGGAAAACCTCAACCCCTACAAAGAGGGGAGACGGCCGCTAGTTTTTTTTTTAATTTGTGGTAGAGTTAAAAATTATCACTTATTTTCTCTCACATTGTAAATTAATTAGGCACCACTATAATTAGGGTGACAGTTAGGGTGACAATTAATTAGGCACCACAATTAGTCACCACTATACCAATATATTAGGGTGACAATTAATTAGGCACCACAATTTGGACTGTG